GTTGAATATGTCATGGGTAGCTTGCCGGGCTTTGCCACACGGGCAAGATACTCTCGGTAGCTTGCTGGGCTCTCTGAGAGGGACGGAGGAATTGAACTCGGGTCGACCATGTTGTCTGTGTGCAAGGCAAACACCCTACCCGCTATGCTATCGTTCCAGCCCATATATATATATATATATATATATATGTGTGTGTGTGTGTGTATATATATATATATTAGGACTGAAAATATACTCCCAATAATATAATCTACTATATTTGATAATTAAACATCATGAACATTTTCCATGCTAATAAATATTTTTCTACTACCCAATTTGAGGGGGACCAACTTGACAGCTATTAGCAAAATGTGCTGTGATTTAATTACCTCATTCTTTCACATTTTGTATATTCCTGTATCTTTGCTAATAGTTTTCCTATACCTTCTGTTATTTGAAAACCAAACATAGGCGGTGCTGAATTTGTTCCTTGGCATATATTCCTATGGTAAAGGATAATTTGGGGATCATTTTCACTCAACTAGGTATAGAACTTAAAGAGCTAAACAGAAGAATTAAGACCTGAAGAGGTCCTCTGAAGGCCATCTCTGTTTTGACAAGTGAGCCAGCCTCAGCTCAGTGACATCTATGAGCAAGCAGTGTTTGCACCCTAAAGTTGAAGCAATCAGCTTTCCCTTTATGTGTTCAAACATTATATATTAGGCATATGGAACTGGATTCTGACACAAATCAATGTTGAAAAGATGCTTCCGAAAACTTGAGAAGCTTGTACTTCAAGATCAATGTTATTCGAGAATCTGGAAGGGAAGTTAGAGGCAGGATGGTAGGCAAGATAGCCCAGAATGCTGGCTTAGCTAGTAGTAGTCAAATAATTATTATAGACGGGGGAGATTATTCTCTCATTTGTGAGCAACAGTTACTCTAATTGATTTCTGCATACTTGTGGATAGGGATCTGCCCTCTTCCATTTATTTTTCGCCTGACAAGTAAGATGTGAAATGTTGTTCCATGCCTTTCTAATTTAAATGTTGCACATGTTGAGAACTGATCTTGCCAGCCATTTTAAGGCTGGCCAAAAACATAACACATTGTTGTTATTAACCTTCATCATTTGGGTGGAGCCAACATTTTGTTTGGAACTGTACAGGAGTCTGATTCCCCTTATAGGCATAACCTATTCCTTCCATAAAGTAGGTGCAGCGAGAAGGCAGCTAGATTTCCTTGGTCAGTTGCTTTGATAGACTCATGAGGGTGACTGCGCTAGGGATGTTCTCTTTGCAAAGCCTCCTTGAAAAGTGAGGTTTGCTCCTTTAGAGTAATGTGTGTGTATATATATATATCTGTGTGTATGTATACATACATATATATATCTATATACATATATATGTATATGTGTGTGTTGTATGATCAATCTGCCCATGCAGAAAGATCAGAGGAAGCTTAAAGTATAAGCAGCCATTACCACAGGGCCCACATTGGAGGTGGAGGACAATGTCCTTGAAGCCAAATGTACTGTGTCCAGCCTGCACACTGAGTAATCCATCTCTCGCACACACACATACATACTTCTATTTTCCAAATATATGCTTATGCCCTACTGGACAGAAATGGTTTTAAAATGGATTTTTATGTTCTTACATTTACTGTAGCTTCTTGTCCTATTGTGTATTTCCGATCCAGAGTAGGTTTCACATTTCTGTCATAGGGCATCTAAGAGTTATTTTATGTTAAAAATTGTCTCTGTTACTTGAGAATTGGGAGCTTCTGTGCCCTGTCCAGTAGGACATTTTGTAATATTAGAAATGTTTTCTTTATAATCTAGTATAGTATATCTGTCACTCTATGCAGCTCTAGAGGACTTGGAATATGACTAATTGACTTGATAGCTGAAGTTTTCATTTTATATTAATTGATTTAAATGTAGTTATCTGTGGCTGAGGACTGCATATTGGACAAAACAGACCTATAGTGTCCTTTTGTAGTTAGTTTTCTGACACCCCAGGCTCCTGACACACATGTCTGCATACACGCATGCACAGAGTTCTCCCTTAATCCAGACTCTTCCCCAGTTTTTCTTGACTTCCACCCCCAAATATATATGCCGAACAGGACATTTCTTCACAGATACGAGTCCTAAAGGATCCTGAGACCAAGAGAAGATATTTTTGCATAAATACTTAATGAAATTATTTAATAGTTTGTCCTTATTATATAAATACCGGCATTGTAATGTACAATTTTCTTCCAGCCTCAATCTGGCTCTCAGAAGCCTGTTTCTATATATCGGGGACACATGTACTAGTGGTCTTCATATTGAGTTGGTGTCAACTTCTATATAGTATGATCCTTTTTATTTAAAAATTGACATTTTGGGGCCAAAGAGAGTATAGGAGTTAAGGTGCTCGCCTTGTAGTCAGCCATCCCCAATTCAATCCCTGGCACCACATATGGTCCCCTGAGTACCGCCAGGAGTGAGCCCTGATCAGAGAGACATGTGTAAGCCCTGAGCACCACCCAGTGCACCCCCATTATCCCCAATAGACAATGTGGCAGGAGGGATGGCTTTAGTAATTATTAGAAACTCCGAAACCAAAATCTTACCCAAGGGCTCTCATTCGGCAAGAAAATTTCCATTTTCTACTTGATGATTTTTAAAAGTGACCAAACGATCTTCCTTCTTTCCTTCTGTAACTCTCTCTGAAACAGTTTAGAGAGTCCACAGTATTGTACAAGTTCTGTGTCTTTCTCATAATTCATAGCCTTGGGGTCTCTCATGCTCATCATGTGCAGTAACAACATTGTATTCGCTTCTGTTAAGGTACCAAAATGATAAGAGGATCTCGGCCTAAAATCCATCCTTATAATTATGATTGATTTTTTAATTGTAAATATAGTGTTAGTTGCATAATTCAAGAATCATGACTTTTCCCACCATATTTTTGTCTTGGATTGTTGTAAAGTGAGATGGAGGAGAAAATGAGTAACTTGTAGCGCCCAAAAGATCATATGACCCCAAAGTTCTTTTGGAGTGCCTGCTTGCGAAGTACCCATCCAGGTCATAAACTCTTTTGCTGGACAGGTCAGGAAATAGGAAAGACTCCTGTACAGGCCGTTCATTGAGGAGGATTCTTTCTCCCACTCACCCCCATATGTGTGGGTGACGTCACAGTGCGTCAGCACCTCTGGAGTGTCTCTCTCCCTTCTCCCTTCCCGACTCTTCCACTTTGAAGGCAGAGGCTTGGGCATTTAAACATGAGACCAGACTGAGAAAAAGTCATTTGTTGAACCAGATTATCAGGATGTGCCCTCCAGACCCATACTGGACAGTACAATCCCAAACGTGCTGCCAAAAGGAGAGGAAGTGTAAAGACGAAGAGTACAAAGCTACCACCAGGTGCAAATGAAATAGTGAGCAGCGCTTCGCCCTCAGCATCCTCCACACCAGGCTCTCCACTCTCCTTGCAGTCTTTTTTTTTTTCCTTTTTGGGTCACAGCCGACGATGCACAGGGGCCACTGCTGGCTCTGCACTCAGGAATTACTTCTGGCGGTGCTCAGGGAACCATATCGGATGCTGGGAATTGAAGCCAGGTCGGCCGCGTGCAAGGCAAATGCCCTACCTTCCTGTACTATGGCTCCAGCCCCATTCCTTGCAGTCTTTCCTAAATTCCACCGGCTGATCGTTAGCGATTTCTTTTCACGGCACTTCCTTCTGTGTTTGTCCGGTTCTGTTAAACCCCTTCCTTCTCATCTGCTAACCTTCATTGTAAAGAGGGTGTGCAGGTTGTTGCCTGGGGGTGACTGCTGGCAATACAGTCTATGTATGTGTGTTGGGGTAAATAAGAGTGATCATAGAAAAGCCGGTCAACAAAGAGAAACTAGGGCTGGAGCAATAGCACAGCGGGAAGGGCATTTGCCTTGCATGCAGCCAACCTGGTTCTAATCCCATATGGTCCCCAAGCACCGCCAGGGGTAATTCCTGAGTACAGAGCCAGGAGTAACCCATGAGCATCACTGGATGTGAACCCCCTCCCCCCAATAAAGTAACATTTTCAAATATAAAACACGATTTTAAATTAATTTCACTTTCCTTGAGGGGGTATGTTTGGGGGGCCACACCCAGAGCTGTTCATGCCTCACTCAAGGTTCAGGGAACTTAAGGGTTATTCCTGACAATATTTGAAGGGCTGTAGGTGGTGGCAGAGGTCCAACTAAGTTGGTCACATCCAAAATAAAACAAAAAAAAGTAAGCCCAGCTGGTTTATCTCTCCAGCATAGTTTTTCTTCTAATTCTATAGAAAGAGCACACAGACAAGACAGACAGGCAGACACACACACACACACACACACACACACACACACACACACACACACAGACAGAGAGAGAAACATAGTCTTCTCTGAGCACCCAAGAAGTATTACCTGTTTTTGTCCTGTATTTCCACCTCTATGATAAAGATAGGAATCGAGAATTACCAAAAAGGATCTAAAAGAGCATTGTAGTTTGATTCTGTATTAATTCTTCCATTAGGTCTTTCTGTGCTCCAAGTGTTTTCAGAGAACTGGGTCTTTTCTTTGATAAGTTTCCTGTAAGGAAAAAAAAAACAGTGAACAGGATAAGAAATCTCCAGATTTATTATCTGCAATTAATCTGAGAGCTAGTGCTATTGGTTTAGCTGTATGATTTCTTAACTTTAATGTGTCCACTTTATATACCTATGTTCTCTTATAAAAATATACCGCATTATTGTATTCTACGCTTTCCTTTGCTGTATATATGTGTTCTTTGATTAGAGTATATTAGGCTGAAAATATCGTATCAGACATCAGTCTAAACACTGGATTGTTGGGTAGTTTAGGACTTGCCTCCAAATGTATTTATAAGGTTGTGGGTTTGATTGAGATACTTCTGAGTGGTGGGCTTCAGGGAAGTCAACCTTTGTTTTTAATTACTATTTATTAACATATCTGTCTCCTGCCTGTTGTTTTTTTTTTCCAGTATCTACTAGAAATGAAAAGCTTAATCCTCCCCCCAGAACATATCCTGAAGAGAGGGGACAGTGAAGCAATAGCATACGCGTTCTTTCATCTGGCACACTGGAAGCGGGTGGAAGGGGCTTTGAATCTTTTGCATTGTACGTGGGAAGGCAGTAAGTAATTTTCTTCCTTTGAAACTTTCTTTTAAAAAGCATGAAAAGATGCTGAGATTCACCTGTTCATGATGAATAATGAAGATTTGCATCTCTATATAGCGCATCTTCCCTGTGAAGTTCCATCTCTTAGAGCTGGCTAATTACTTAAGCGCCCCATCCATCCAGCTCCATCCAGCTCGGCAGTTATGGTGGGTGTTGCTGAGATGATGTCATCTCTAAGCTCGGAAAGGGGCCTTGAAACATGGCATGGCAGGGGAGGAATCTGAACTGTTCTGGATGAACAGCACTCTGCATCTGAAAGCCTTTGTAGATCTGAACAGCTCCTGGGCTCATGGTTTGAAGGTAGACCGCACCTGGGCTTCGCCTATCCCTCTTGACAGCTCTTCTGGAAGGGCTGGCGGAGGAGCCATGGTTATCCTCCACTCGAGGCACTAGATTAGCCTGACACAAGAACAGCGGTTATTCTTCCAAACGAGTGCAAGTGATAAGTAAACTTAGGGCCCTTGTGTTTGGTCCAGGTGTCACTTTTATGTGTTAATGAATGAATAACTACTTGACGGTGTATGGTAAGTCCCTCTGAGCAATTGTAAATGCAATCATTCTGGATAGAAGGAGGGTCACATGGCCAGTGAACTAGGTTTCCTGCCCTGCAGAAGCATCTGGTTAGAGGAGTAGCCAGCAGCTTATAGCAGCTGCCCAGTGATTTTCCACAGGGGCGAAGTCTATAGGGTGGAGTAATTACCAGTCATCTTATGAATAGCAGGAGATTCAAACCAAGCCCCAAAGAAGTAAGACAGTATAAAGCAAGGCCACCGTGTAAGGAAGTGCCGCCGTGTGGATTGTTTGGGAAAATGTGAATTGAGATAAAAGGTCCAAGCAATCCTTGGACAGCATGTACGGTGGACACTGTTATCAGGAATTTAAACAAAGCAAGTACGACATGTAGCACGGGTGTTGTTGTTTTCCCTCTCCTGGGGAAACAAAGCAATAGATGGTATGAATCTTCTGACATTTTGTTTCTCCCCCTTGGTTCACCCTTACTCTGATCAGCCTCACAAATAAATGTCTATTCAATCCTTTTCACTCTGTTTATCTTCGCTGCTTCCATTTTCATTTTGATAATCTTCATCTCCTCCCTTTTCCTGCCCTTCCCTAACCCAGCAGGAATCCAAATTGGTGCAGGAAGGGAGTAGGGGTAGCCAAAAGGGATAGGGCAAAAGTAAGTTGACAGAGGTGAGACTCAGCTGATTGAAAGGGTTTTTTTTCTTTTTTTTTCTTTTTGCTTTAAAACCATTTCTACAGCAAATTAGTAGTGGGTCTACTTAAATAATTTACTGTTTGTCACTGAAGAGCTGTTGATTTGATCACGGCTTCCACCCCCACCAGCTGAATGTAATAACACACTCCAGGTGTCCCAGGCCTGGTATTTGGAGATGTTAAGACATAACACACACTGCTCAGGGCATGCATGGGCGTGCGTGCAAACCTCTCTGGGTTAGGTTTATTGTTGCATTTAAGGTGTTCTCTCCAAATGAGACAAAGGGACTTTTTTATTTAAACATGAGAAAAAGACAGCAAGGCCCCAGCAAGATTGAACATGAAAAGCCTCACCTAGTGTTAGTTATGGAAAAATCAAATATCCAAATTGGCTCACCATGTAAGAACATACTTAGGGATTGGCATCTTGGAAACCTAGTAACAAGAGCTTATCGGGTGGATCTGATTGATAAGAAAGTTACCAGTTCTTTAGGAAGATTCAAAATAGAGAGGGCCTAGAAGGGATAGAGACCAAGTATTTGGAATAGAAGATGCATGAAATAAATACATAAAATCCCGTGAGGAATAACCAGAAACTCTGTTTAGGAACTCTTTACGGTAAGCCAACAATAATGGGGGAAATACTCTGAAACAACTGGAAAGGAGAATAAGATTGTGAGAAAGATAAAGTGGAAGAGAGTGGGCTCCAGAATCAAGGTATTGGAGGCGAGCATAGATTATTTATTTTATTTTATTCTATTTGCTTTTTGAATCATACCCGGCAATGCTCAGGGGTTACTCCTGGCTCATGTACTCAGGAATTACTCCTGGCAGTGCTCAGGGGACCATATGGGATGCCGGGGATCGAACCTGGGTCGGCCGCATGCAAGGCAAATGCCCTATTCGCTGTGCCCCAGGCATTGACAATTTAGATGGCCAGTATGCTTTTGACAAGAATGAGAAAAGGAGATGGCCTTCTGGACATAAAACATTAGAGTTGGAAACTTTGAGTTGAGTTCTACAGGTAAGTAGGAAGCACTGTGGGAAACGATACATTGCTATTCGGGCTGCGAGAGAAGAATCAGGCCATTCCGTTTCAGCCAAGAGCACTGGGAACTTGTAGGTATCAGTGTTTCAGGGGAAGCAAGGCCCTCAACATGCTCTTGGGGAAGCAAGAATCTTGCCCTTGCTCGCACAGCTATGTAGCTGACAAGAGAGTTTTGCTTTTCCGTCAGTTCCCAGCTAAGCCTCCTTGTTCAAGCGCCCCCACAGAGTCACTGAGCTCAGTGACTAATGGAATAGTGAGCAGCCACTGCTAGTAGCACCGCACAGAAATCCATGTTTGCTTTGCCTCCCTGCTCTTTTCTGGAAAACCATCCAGTTAGCCTTTGCTCAGTAGCTTAAGCATAAGCAGATCCATCATTCTGAGACTTCTGTTCAGAAGCCCTGACAAGGGTATACTAATTCTAGCTGGTTTCTTTCTAGCATTTAGAAAGTTAATCATGCAATACAAAACTCCACTTTTGTTACTGAATATTGACTTAAACTATTTTTTTTTTGCTTTTTTTTTTAAGTGACCACACCCGGTGATGCTCAAGGGTTCCTCCTGGTTCTGCACTCAGGAGTCACTCCTGGCAGTGCTCGGGGAACCATGTGGGATGACAGGGATGGAACCCGGATCGGCTGGATGCAACAATGCCCTCAAACATTGTACTATTGCTCCAGCCCCTGACATCACTGTATCACTGTATCACTGTCCTCCTGTTGTTCATCGATTTGCTCGAGCGGGCCCAGTAACATTGTGAGACTTGTTACTGTGTTTGGCATATCGAATATGTCACAGGTAGCTTGCCAGGCTTTGCCGTGCAGGCGAGGTACTCTCGGTAGCTTGCCAGGCTCTCAGAGAGGGGTGGAGGAATTGAACTCCAGTCTTCCAAGTTGGCTGTATGTAAGGCAAACACCCTACACACTGCACTATCACAGTCCCTGACATAAACATTTTAAATATAGAATAGGCCCGGTTCTATTTTTTATAAAATTCTCTGTATAAGGAAAGCAAAGAGACTAGCATACACCTTTATGTAAGACAATATTTCTTTATTTGCTTATATTCTTCAACTTTTTTTTTTTTTTGGTCACAACGAGCAATGCACAGGGGTTACTTCTGGTTCATGCACTCAAGAATTACTCCCTGCGGTACTTGGGGGACCATATGGGATGCTGGGAATCGAACCCAGGTTTGCCGCATACAAGGCAAATGCCCTACCCGCTGTGCTATCACTCCAGCCCCATTCTTCAACTTCTTATAAGAAATATATGTCTGTTTCTTACAGACAAAAACCAGAGTGTACGTGTGCCTGTATGTATGCACAGATATATAGAAAAGTTATCTCTCATTAATATTTTGGTTTTTTTTTTTTAAATAGAAAGACCAGCTTTGTTTTGACAAAGCTGTTTGGGGAAAGAATTAACACGGCAGCTTCAGACCGTTGTACAGAGTGAAATCCACTCTGTGTCCATGTGTAGACTTGGGTCCATGCTAACTGAAATGAAACTGAGGCTTCGATGAAACAGAAGCTTTTAAATAGCAGGACTTGGATTACCTACACGTGGAATTTACGTCACCAGGATTTTGAGAACGGTGAGGCTCTGCTGTGGAATGCCACCGCCCTGCCCTAGACTGGGGAGCTTCAGGGCAGGTGCAGGGAGAGCAGCAGAAACTGAGCCCCTCCCTCTCCCCAAGGCCCGTCGGCCTGTCCCTGACTGCGTGTGTCTGCACACAGGAGCCTGCACTTTCATCACTAGACCACGTGGTGGCACCTTTTGACATCTGCAGCTTCAAGGTTCTCCTTTAAATCATTTTTTGGCATTCTGAAATTAAAGGCCATTCCCCAACTCCCTTCCAGCCTCTTCTTTTTCATTAGAAAGGGAATTCATGAGATGAAAGTAACTGTACCTAATTTCACCTTCCACTCTCCACGTTCGCCAGGTCCCATGTTAAAAATAAATATATGATTGTTCTTCTAGTTTGTCTTTTGGACATTAAAAACGTACCTTATTTCTGTCAAAGCAGTTGCTTAAGGCAGGAGATGGAGGTACGTTTCTTTTTTTCCCTGGATTTTTAATGAGTATATTATGTTGGAGCATTATACATCTCATGGAATTAAGTGAATTTCCCACTCCCACCAATCAGACTGAAATAATTTATTTTTTTCCCCCTTTCTTCTTCGTCGTCTTCTTTTTTTTTTTTTTTTGTAAAACCCCAAACTCCAGCTGATGCATGGCAGAGATTGTTTGGGTTTGAAACATATGGTGGTTCAAAAAAAAGAGAGAGAGAGAGAGAGAGAGAGAGAGAGAAAGTTCTCAACCACAAATACATCAGCATTTCAAAGGTTTCTAAAATGTTTGATTCATCACTGTCCCAGCCCCTGAAATTACACAACATGTTCTTCAAAGTCAAGATAATCAAGTAAGGGGAAAAGTTTTCATTTACAAGACTTAAAATTAAGTTTCTTTGTTCATTACAGAGCTGCCACCTTATCTGAATTATACTTAAACACTGTAGGTTCTGGTTATCCTCATACACACATACACACACCAGCACAAATCTGAGTTGAATATAAAAAACGTATATGAATGAGGAATTCACTTAATCTGGATCTTATTTACAAGCATTGCGCCTTATGGGGCCCTGTTTTAAATGGCACATCTTCTGTTTTACCTGCATTAAATACAGGTCT